GCTCAAAACCAACTCAGTCTGGCTCTAAAAGTCTATTATTTTTTCACTGTATATAATCTTATAAAATCTTACTTATTTGTGAGATGGAGTCTTGCTCTGTCGCCCAGGCTGGAGTGCAGTGGCATGATCATGACTCACTGTAGTCTCGACCTCCTGGGCTCGAGCAATACTCCTTCCTTAGCTTCCTGAGTAGCTGGTACTACAGGCATGTGCCACTAGGCCTGGCTAATTTTTAAAAAAATGCTTGTAGAGACAGTCTCACTTTGTTGCCCAAGCTGGTTTTGAACTCCTAGCCTCAGGAGATCCTCTTACCTCTGCCTCCCAAAGTGCTGGGATAACAAGTGTGAGCAGCTGTGCCTGGCCTTAATTATTAAATTTACAAATTTAACCTGTTCATCGTAAATTGCTTTGATATTTGGCCCAGTAATAAATGTTAAATGGTCTGTGGAGCCAAGTATATATAGACTTTTAGTTAAGATGACTTGAAGAAAGCAGAAGATAAATTAATACTCAGGAGCTCTCATAGGGGATAGAAAGTATTGAAGTGGTAATCTGATGCTTGAGAGATTAGGTGCCAGGAGATTCTTGTCAGTGGATAACACTGCAAGAGAAACTTGTGTCAGTGTTTGGTTTGCTATGTTGTAGATCATATTTTCCATGCTACAAAATATAGGAAATTTCCTTTAGGTATATTAGGGTCAAAGAGAGCATTTTTCTAGGGCACCCTCTGCTGACTTCCTAGCAGTAATTAAGATACCTACCTGACGTAATTGTACAGATACTAATGATGTAAATAAATTAAGGAAAGAAGTTAATTTCAAGGGCCATTAGAAACAAAGGAAATCGATGTTAGTAACAAATGAAATAGAAAAATAGAGCTGGGGAAAGGATCAAGTTTATTTTAGAATTCAAAGTTAGCTATTGAATCCTTTTTGAATTATAGGAAAAATACTTCTGATATTGGAAAATTACCATTTCAGACAAATAGTTTAAGCTTTATACTGTAAAGTTTATACTTTAAACTTTATAAGGGTGGCCTGATAAGAATCAGCATGTAGAAGCCGGGCGCGGTGGCTCAAGCCTGTAATCCCAGCACTTTGGGAGGCTGAGACAGGCGGATCACAAGGTCAGGAGATCGAGACCATCCTGGCTAACACGGTGAAACCCCGTCTCTACTAAAAAATACAAAAAACTAGCCGGGCGAGGTGGCGGGCGCCTGTGGTCCCAGCTACTCCGGAGGCTGAGGCAGGAGAATGGCGTAAAACCCGGGGGCGGAGCTTGCAGTGAGCTGAGATCCGGCCACTGCACTCCAGCCTGGGTGACAGAGCCAGACTCAGTCTCAAAAAAAAAAAAAGAATCAGCATGTAGGGTCAGCTTTCTAAATGAGTGATTACGTTATAAAAGTGCTGTCTTTGGCCCTTTATAACTAAAAGGTAAACTTCTGGCAGTTTTAGTGGCAAAGTCTGAAATTGATCAGTGACCTAGTTGGGTTCTAGATAAAATGCTATTAATAGTTCTTTGGAAACATTCAGATTCAGAGAATTAGATGATTAGATGTGGGCTTTATTAGATGAGAAACTCCACTCTGAGGAGGCGCCTAAGGATCTGTGCTGTTCATCCCCTTTCACACCTGAGGCCTTTCACATCTAATTGATAACCAACTAATAGGCATTTCACATCTAGTTAATCTGACTTTGTCCCAAATAGCTGTGAGTTGACCTCACTTTTCTTGTGACTCTAGGCAGCCACTTCTTTACCTTTCAGAGTTGCCATTTGAGAAGAAATATGCTGTTTTGAGCCCTAGCCATTTTATTTGATAACATGAAGAATATGAAATAACTCCCATAGAAAACTGAGTATACAGCAACTAAAAACTGGGTATGGTGACTTGCTTTGGGATCCTAGTGCTTTGGGAGGCTGAGATGGGAGGATCGCTTGAGACTAGGAGTTTGAGACCTGCCTTGGCAACATAGCAAGACCCCCATCTCTACAAAAAGTTAAAAAATTAGCTGAGGATGGTGGTGCACTAGAAAAAATTTAAAAATTAGCTGGGCATGGTGGTGCACACATGTAGTCCCAGCTACTTGGGAGGCCAGGAGTAAGCTATGAATGCACCAGTGCACTACAGCCTGAGCGACAGAGTGGGACCCTGTCTCAAAAAAAAGAAAAAGAAACTGAAGACATTTAATAAATACCTTTGATATTTAACTTATTTAATTTACAAAAATGATTTGGTCCCAAATTTGCAGGAAAACATAAAAACATGATCAAACAGTTTTAGGGAGTTAGACATTGAACTGTCTATATAGGGCAATTATTCTTTACTGTAACAAAAGAAGAATATCAAGTTTTACTTCTTCTGAGACAATACTATAATTTGTCTTAAAATAATAAAAGGTAACAACATTAAGAGGTAATGAACAATTCTGATTGACACTGGTATTAGAGGGATGTATTTTAGGAACAATCTGGGTTCCATTTTGAAAGTATTAAAATGACTTGTTACTGTATAAATAGCTGTAGCTTTGTGTATGGTTGAATGTATCTGTCATTTGCTGCTGTTATTTGCAAAACTGACCATAGAACTATTTGGACTATTATAGAAAATCAACCTATAAATATCAGTGCAAACTTTTGTTCTTGTGGAATAGGTTTTTGTTTTTTTTTTTTTCCTATTTTGTTTTGTTTTGAGACAGGGTTTCACCCTGTCGCCTATGCCGGAGTGCAGTGGTGCAACCTAGACTCACTCATCACAGCCTCAACCTCCTGGGTGCGAGTGATCCTCCCAGCTCAGCCTTCCAGGTAGCTGGAACTACAGAAGCACACCCTGATACCTGGCTAATTTTTTTGTAGAAACAGGGGTCTCCCTATATTACTCAGGCTGGTCTCAAACTCCTGGACTCCAATCCTCCTGCCTCGGCCTCCCAAAGTGCTGGGATTATAGGCATGAGCCACTGCACCTGGCCATGGAATAGTTTTGACAGCACTTAATAATATCAAGCAGAATAAAAATTCCTTAGACAGGAAAATATTTTGGAAAAAAAATGCAGAATGGATTATATTTGTTTTTTGCTTTTTTGTCATGTTTCTGTTACTAGCTACTAACATTTTACTACTGTACATTTTGAAAATTTGACAGTCCATTATCAAATATGGGATGATAAACATTTGAGTTGTTGAGAAGCTAAGTAATCTTTTTCATTCTATGAACTTATGAATTATATTAAAAGTAATCTCACTCTTTCATTTAAAGGCCAGTAAATGTAGCTCTACTCCTTCTTTCTAGCCTTCTGTTGGACTAATAGTTTCAGGATGGACTTTCGGCCGGGTGCAGTGGCTCACACCTGTAATCCCAACACATTGGGAGGCCGAGGCGGGCAGATCACTTGAGGCCAGGAGTTTGAGATCAACCTGGCCAACATGGTGAAACCCTGCCTCTACCAAAAAAAAAAAAAAAATTAGGCTGGTGTGGTGGTGCCCACCTGTAATCCCAGCTACTTGGGAAGCTGAGGCACAAGAATCGCTTGAACCCGGGAGGTGGAGGTTGCAATGAGCCGAGATTGTGCCACTGCACTCCAGCCTGGGCAGCAGAGTAAGACTCATGTCTCAAAAAATAAAAATAAAAAAGATGGATTTTTGAGTTTCACTTCCACCATTAGGCAGCTACGGAATCATAAGCAAGACACGGTATTTTTTTTTTAACCTATCAAATGAAAGAATTGCACAAAATCCATGGTTTTTAAACCTTCTTGGAGTCATGGAGAAATCCTTTGAGAATCTAATGAAAGCCAGCAATATTTACACCCTGAAAACTGCTTATCCATATAAAAGATTGTGTGTAATTTCAGGAGCTGTAGTATTCTCTGAAGCCATCCACAGACCTCAATTTAAGATCCCTGGATTAGAGGATTTCTGGGTTAATCCTAGTTTTCAAAGTCTATAATTCTCTATTTCTGTTCACTACCCTGTCGTCTAGCTACACATGCTATGATCCTCATTCTTCAGACTCCTGCTTCAGGTGTTTGCTCATATTGTTTTGTCCGTTTTCAGATGTCCTTCCTACCCCCTTGACTATCTTTACCTTTGAATGTTCTACCCTCTTTTTAAACCACAATTCATTGTCACTTTTTATGTCTGAAGCTTCTTCTTTCCCTTAGAACCTTATACCAAATAGCCTTTAGCCTGTTTGGTCTTACATTATAGTGATTAGAGGGCTGTGTATGCATTGCCCCTTCCTCTTCTCACCTATTCCTCAACAGATTATAAATGTCTTGACATAGGTGACTATGTGCCTATATTCACTTTGTAACTGAGTGGTGCCTTGCTACTAGTAGTCAAGGAATAATTGCTTGAATTTGTCGCTTAATTGTAGTGACTGTCTGCTGTGTCCCCTAATTGCTGAGAGGATTAGCCCCTTTCTCCCCAAAAAAAGGAGAAAGTGGTACGGAAATAGAACCACAGAGGGAAAACCTCGTATAGAAGATGAACTAGGCCCGGTGCAATGGCTCACGCCTGTAATCCCAGCACTTTGGGAGGTTGAGGCGTGTGGATCGCTGGAGCCCAGGAGTTCAAAACCAGCCTGGGCAATAAGGCGAAACCCTGTCTCTACAAAAAATACAAAAATTAGTCGGACATGGTGGTGTGCGCCTATAGTCATCCCAGGTACTCGGGAGGCTGAGGCACGAGAATCGCTTGAATCGGGAGGCAGAGGTTGCAGTGAACCGAGATTGTGGCACTGCACTCCAGCCTGGGCAACACAGGTAGAGTCTATCTCAAAGAAATAAAATAAAAATATAAATAGAAGATGAACTTAAAGAAAGGGTAGAGTTTAGGGAGCTGGACAGGCATTATTGGGGCGAGATGAAGAGAAATGAGAGAAGTAGCGTATACTATATTTCATTATTAATGAAATTGGTCTATTTTTACTGAAAAGAGATACTCGGCTTACAATTTTCACCTAAGCTTTACATTTTTTATTTTTGTTGTTTTTGTTTCCGCAGGTACAAGAAAATTCCCCAGGACACAGAGCTGGATTGGAGCCTTTCTTTGATTTCATTGTTTCTATTAATGGTTCAAGATTAGTAAGTTCAACTTTTTGTAGTTTTGTCTATAGTATTTGTAATATCTCAAAAATGGAATTTTTTAGATGATCTGAGATGGGTGTTTATGAGTTACAATCATTCTGTATAGTATGATGCCAGTTTATAGAAATAATCATGTATTAAAAACATTGAAATATCTAGAATATTATACCTTATGCTCCACTGATTATCTTAGGGAAGTCTCCAGAATCAGTGGAGTCTTTTATATGTTAAATATTTAATTTTCATGAGCAGAAAGAAATAAGATGTAAAAGATTGCTTTTTAAAGATGTCAGACTTCTGTTGGTTATTGACAAATGAATTAGTAGAAAGATTCATTCTCTCATCTCATTCTGTCAAATTGTCAGTTCTCTTGGTGCTAAGTTTCACAATATACAAATAATGTTATTAGAACCAGACAGAGAGACATGCTCCAAAGTACAAAATTAAAACCACTTTTTATACCTTTTTTAGAGTTTACCCATAATAAAGTTCTAAGATAAGGAAATTACATAATCTCAGCAAATTCTTAGGACAGTAGCCACTTGGTTTAATTTTTCATAACAGTCTGAAGTTTTTGTTCATTACTTATAACATCTCTGACATACAAATAAAGGCTGGATGTTGGCCTTTATTTATATGTCATCTGGCCTTTATTTATGAAATGAAATACTTAATATACTGTTTCTACTTTCTAAATAAAGTATGTAGTTAGAAATAGAGTCCAAAATTAAACGTTAACCCCAGTAAATGTTTTAGATTTTTATAATCAAAGTTATCACAACTTCGTTAGTAATGTGACTTTTTATGGCATATTTTGTTTTTACACATTGAAGCCCTAGATCATTCTAAATAATGTTGGGTTGCAAATTCCATAATCCATAGTGAGCTATTAGAAAAAAGTCAGTTTCAAGTTGTTGCTAACATAAGAGTTGTTCTTAATTTCGTGACATTCCTTTTACATAGAGGAAAATTTAAATGTTGGTGAAACCTTTGTTGAATGTTTTATTTATGTTGATTATTAATATTACTCTTTTAGGGCCATAGGATGCTTAAGCTAACATTAAATTTTTATTTACTAAGGAATGTGATTTCTATATGTTCACAGAATAAAGACAATGACACTCTTAAGGATCTGCTGAAAGCAAACGTTGAAAAGCCTGTAAAAATGCTTATCTATAGCAGCAAAACGTTGGAGCTGCGAGAGACCTCAGTCACACCAAGTAACCTGTGGGGCGGCCAGGGCTTATTGGGAGTGAGCATTCGTTTCTGCAGCTTTGATGGGGCAAATGAAAATGTTTGGCATGTGTTGGTAGGTATCAACTGTGAACTGTTACTGGAGGTTCGTGAAGCAGTGTGGAAAGATGTTTTAACAATGGTTGTTTCTGGCTTAATAAGATTATAAGGATATTATTATTAGGCAATTTTTACCAAAAATCAGCATTCATTGCTTTTTAAATGTGGAACAATTTTTTTTTAAGTTGAGGAAGAGAAGGACATGTAGAAGTTCAAGAACTTTTTCTAATGATTTATTCATTATGAGATGTGTTAGAGTAGATAGCTACAAAAATATTTTAAATATTAAATATTATGTAATTTTTTTGCTCAGAAGTTTAAAATATATTCTGTAGTTTCTGACATATGACACATCTCTAGCAAGATAGAAGTATACAGATTTAAAAAATCAATATAATTAAAAATTGTGAATAACCTTGGAAGATTGTATATGCTAATTTTAGGGTATGTGTTTGTGTCCTTCTAGGAAGTGGAATCAAATTCTCCTGCAGCACTGGCAGGTCTTAGACCACACAGTGATTATATCATTGGAGCAGATACAGTCATGAATGAGGTAATTCGTGTGTTTATTCATAGTGAAAACTATATAAAATTTTCTCATCGATGCTTGAGTTGGGAAAGATATTTGCATGCTTTGCATTTAGAGTTAAAATTTCAGTCTTTGCCGATCAAGAATAACTTATGCCTCAGGGTGTTAAATGGAACATCTGGTAGGTGTCTTGTTAGGTATAGCTGTGAGGGAAAACACATACTGTGCGGCAATTGCACAGATTTTGTGTGTAGTATACAGAAATCTCTGCATACCTCAAGTCTAAATCAAATTCTCATTTTCAATTGTTCATTGATTTCATTTGCTCTTCCCCTTTTTGTTCAGTGACAGCATTCGCGCAGCTATAGTAGATCCTTTTCCTTGTCTGTTAGCTAGCAGAAGTATACATTGCTAAATCAAAAATGAGAGAAAAGGCTGGGCACAGTGGCTCATGCTTGTCATCTCAGCACTTTGGGAGCCTGAGATGGGAGAATTACTTGAGCTCAGGAGTTCGAGACCAGTCTGGGACCTCGTAGTGAGACCTTGTCTCTACAACAAATACAAAAATTAGCCAGGCATGGTGGTGCATGCCTGTAGTCCCAGCTACCTGGGAGGCTGAGGTGGAAGGATCACTTGAGCCTGAGAGGTTGAGGCTGCAGTGAGCCAAAATCATGACACTGCATTCTAGCCCAGGCAACAGTTAGAGAGACCCTGTCTCCAAAAAAAAAAAAAAGAGTGAGAAATAAGGTGCCCAGACAACCAGGTCTTAATAATGGGAAGTAAAAGCAGAATATGTAGAACTTGGGTATAAAAGAATTGTACTAAGAGGGCCAACTAGATCTTAAGGAACTGGCCATAAAGCCTTGTATGTAGTAAGTAGGCTTTGCTTGAATTAATATATTGAATTAAACCTGCTTGGTGTATTGGTTTTAAGAAGTGATTTTTATGTCTAGGGCAGGGCCCAGAATCCATATTTTTTTCTTAGGTTTCTTAGGTGATTCTGATAGTAGCCAGGTTTGAGACACACTGTTCCAAAGTACAGTAACATGAAACATTTTCCTCCTGTGACACTTTTGCAGTCTGAAGATCTATTCAGCCTTATTGAAACACATGAAGCAAAACCATTGAAACTTTATGTGTACAACACAGACACTGATAACTGTCGAGAAGTGATTATTACACCAAATTCTGCATGGGGTGGAGAAGGCAGGTAAGGTCATTTTTTAGACTAAGTTATGACTGCTTAAACATACCAGTCAGATATGTTGTAAACATTGTTTTTATTTTGAAAGAAGTTACTGGTTTATTGTAAGACTCCTCTTAAAAAAGGGAAGAGCTAGTCTAGAATATTGAAATCAATTTTTTTAAAGTACATATCTAAGGAACATAGTATACATACTATAGTCCTTTTCTTTACTGACCTAAGAGCTAACAGCATTTCTTTTTTAATTTGAGAAATTATTGAACATAAGCCATAATTATAGAAAAGCCTAGAATTTGGAAACTTTCCACATGTTTTCAAAAGTTCTAATCCCATGCTGGGAAAAGGATAACTTAGTTGCTGCAGGCAGGAAAAGCCTCCATTTGCTCACAGTATCTTTACGGACACTACCTGAGATTCTCCAGCTGAATGTTTTGCCACAAGTATTCTAACTTGTTGCAGTTTGAGAAAAGTAAGATAGATATGTCATCCAAGAGTCTGGCCTATCTGGGGCAGTACTTGATCAAATTATCATTGTCCATTGCCCAGGTTTGTAAATGCCCAGAAATATGATCTACTCGAGGCATTCAAAATTTATTCATTAGAAGAGGCACTTCCTCATATAAACTAAATTTGCAGAGAAGCTGCTGTATTTATTTGAATAGCAAATTTTCAGTTTGCAGTAGAAAAATACCCCCTCTCCAGTTAGAAGAATACTCAAGTCAGATTAGTACCACAGGAGTGCCTGGTAAGCATGGAATCAACTGGAGGAAGAGATTCTGTGGACAGTGAAGACCAACGGCAAAGAACATCACATATTCTTTCATTTTTAATTAAAATTTGGCTACATTTCATTTAAATTTGGCTACATTCTTTGGAAGACATTTTTTCTTTTGATGTGTTTAATACTGTCAATTGGCCATTGCATTAGCTAGGCCCATACAGAACATTTTCCTCAGTCTGCCTCTGACCTTGCATCTGGTCTTTTTGTGCCTCTTTAATTCCTTCCTCAGAGGCTGACCACATTTCATTTATTAAATCTTATTTCTCTTAATTTCATTCTTAGGCTATCTTTACGTTTGGCCAGGGTCTTGCTGTTGCCTCAAGTGCATTGTCTATTACCACTTAATTACTTTGATCAATAAGCACCTTGTTTTCAAATGTAGCTACCCCTGAAAGGCCATAATTGGTTAATATAAATTATTTAATCTAAATAATATAAATTATTTCTCTAAATCTATGTGAGATCCAGTCTAGTGAGAATTGCAGGGTTTTGTTTGTTTGGAGACAGGATCTTGCTGTCTCCGCTGGAGCACAATCATAATTCACTGCAGCCTTTAACTCCTGGGCTCAAGCTGTCCTCCTGCCTCAGCTTCCTGAGTACCTGGGACTACAGGTGTACACACTGTACTCGTTTAATGTAGAAACTCCTTTTTAGAGATGGGGCCTTGCTTTGTTTCCCAGGCTAGTCTTGAACTCCTCACTTCTAGCAATCTTCCCACCTTGGCCTCCCAAAGTCCTGGGATTACAGGTGTGAGCCTCCATGCCTGGCCAAATTGCAGTTTTGATTGTGAGAGAAGAAGGAACAAATAACCGTAAGATGAAGCATCATTGTGCACATCAGACTGGTTAAAGAGGAGCTAGGCCTGGCATGGTGGCTCACGCCTGTAATGCTACCGCTTTGGGAGGCTGAGGCAGGTGGATCACTTGAACTCAGGAGTTCAGTACCAGCCTGGGCAACCTGATGAACCCTTGTCTCTACAAAAAATACAAAAATTAGCCGGACGTGGTGGTACGCGCCTGTAGTCCCAGCTACTCAGGAAGCTGAGGTGGGAGGATTGCTTGAGCCCAGGAGGCAGAGATTGCAGTGAGCCAAGATCATGCCACTGCACTACAGCCTGGGCAACAGAATAATAAATTGTCTCATAAATAAATAAATCAATTAATTAATTAAAAAGAGCTGCAGTTGGCCACTGCCTGCTCACCCAGCTTTTGGTGGCAGTGGAGACAATAGATGGTGTGGCAGGAGAAAGGCACAGAGATATTCATGCATGGCCTACTCCGAAAGTGTCAAGTTGTTTGGGAAATAAAAGCCATCATGATGGAAACATAAGTCGGAACCTGATTGTAGAGAGCCTTAAATACCACGGTCAGGACTTCTGATATATTTTGAGCAGTTGAGGCTGTGATAATTGTATCAGTAGGGGGTTTTGGGTTCAAATGGTAAAAACCAGCTGTCACCATCATAAGCAGGTAGCATACTTATTGATATGGATTAGCTCATATAATCAAGGAAACAGCTTAAGAACCAGATGTAGAAAGGACAGGACTCAGAAAACCTCTAGGGATTTAGATAGAAAGAAGTATTTGGCAATGTCATCAGCATTCATTCTACTAAAGCCATTTTTGTTTTTTCTCTGACTCCCAAGGTTTGCAGCCATGGGCAAGAGAAATTGGCCTGGCTTTGACCATGAGCCATGCCCTTGGTTTGGGCAGGGCAGACACTCTGATTGACAGTCCTACCAGCACTGCACACAACAGCAGAGAAGTAATTCCCCAAAGGGAGGAAAGAGAAAGGAATGTTGAGAAGACATCAGACTAGAAAGAAGCAATGTGATCACATCTTACTAGAAAAATGCCTCTGGTGGCAGTGGGAGGATGAAATAGAAGTATGTTCAATCTGGGTTGAACATACATGACTGATTTGTGTCAGGGTTCTGAAAGAGAACTATGGAATGTGTAAATGATGTCATCATGCAGAAGTGCTTAGAGCTCTTCAGTGGAAAGGCTGTATATATGTCATTCATTTAGCAAATAATCATCAAATGTCTGCCATGTGCCAGCAGCTATGGAGGCAGTTAACAGACAAGGTCTCTGTCCTTAAGGATCTTAACATTTTGTTGGGGGAGATAGATAGTAAATAAATATGCAGTGTGTTGGATGGTGATGAATGCTTGAAAAATAAAGGAGTAAGGGTGGTATCCACAGTGGAGGGAAGGGTGCTGTTTTCTGTGGGGTGGTCTGGGACCTCTGCTTAGATGACATTATCTAAAAGAATAGAAATTTGTTTTTATCTTAAAATCTCAAAGAAGGGAGTGCATGTTCAGGGCAACTTGAATCTATGCTCTTGGGTTACCCCCCCTAAAAAAAGAACACCTCAAAGAAATACAAGCTGTGATTGATAACAATGTTAAGAAAAAAATGTTTTTATAGCCTAGGATGTGGCATTGGATATGGTTATTTGCATCGAATACCTACACGCCCGTTTGAAGAAGGAAAGAAAATTTCTCTTCCAGGACAAATGGCTGGTACACCTATTACACCTCTTAAAGATGGGTTTACAGAGGTAAGGTCACATTCTTACCTGAGTATATCATAAAGTTTTTACCAAAACAAGTCATGTGTTTAGTGTATATGGCAGTAGCACTATGAAATAGGGTAGACAATGAGTTAAGTATTGATTGTGTTAAATTTGAGGTTCCGGTAAGATACCTAGATAGAGGTAAGATACATGAGTCTGGGTTATAGGAAAAAGGACAGGGCTAGAGATGCAGATGTGGGAATCATCAGCAAAGAGAGGGTAATGTAACCCAGTGGCTGTTAGGACAGCTGTACAGCTAGGGACTGGGTCTGGGCGGGTCGCCATCTTGAAAATCTGGATGGGCAGAGATCTAGCAAAGGAAGGTCAGCAGGAGGCCAGAGGGAAAACCAAGCTTCAAGAAATCGGACACAGTCGGCCATGTCAGGTACTGCAGAGAAGTTAGGTGAAAGGAGTGAAAAAACCATGTCCTGGGCAAGAGCAATTTCAGAGACTTGCCAGGGGACAAATGCAAATTGCAGGTCAGCAGAGTGAATAGGTAAAAAGGTGCTGCTAGCTGTTGCTTATTGTTTCAAGAAACGATTGAGAAAACAAGGAGAGCTATGTGTGTGGGGGTCATGAGGGGAGTGAAAGGGCTATTATAGGATCAAAGTAAGACTTTTCAAGGAATAAGAGAGATTTGAACAGGCTTATAGGGTTTTTGAATGTTTCTTAAGGAGGCATCTCAGGGCAGTTAACTCTTGTCTGCATAACTAAATAAAAACCAAACACCCAAAAAAGAAAATGCTGCTGTTGTAAAAACAGGGCTGCTGCCACTGTGGTTTTGTCTACACAGTTTGGCCATCTTCACTTCTAGAGGAAGGAAAGAAGAGCTGCTGGGAAGTTTCACCTCCAACATTGGCTCATGGCCAGAGCCAATATAGTTACATGTTCAGACCCCAGCCACCATATCCACTGGCCCTAATCAGGGCTTTCCCAGTTGAACCTCTTTGGGTAGTCTGAGAAGATGAGAGAGTGACTAGCAGCTAGGCAAAGGGTCGGAATACAGGTTGTCTCGGAATGTACTGAAGGGCACTGGAGCTGCTGCAGACGGTGGATTATTCAGAAATGAAACCACCCATCTGTAGAGTCCATATAGACTCCTTTTTTTCTTCTCCTGAAAAGTGGAGATCTGCCTGCTACATTTATTCACTGATGAGAAGAATATTAAATGCACTCATGAGGTTGGAAATCTTGAGAAGTCTATCACGTATTAAGACTTCCAGCTGATTTCTTTCCTGAGCAGTGAAAGTTAAAACAAATAAACCAGCTGGGAATTCAGACAGAAGAGGAAAGCAGTGGTGGTTTAAAGGTTGAATAAAATGATTTCCAGGTGGTAAGGAAAGAGGAGAGAGTAGAATCTCTTCTAGTGTGGAAGTATCAAGAGCAGTGTGTGCAACTTGGGGTAGAAGCCATGTGTCCCAAGACTAGAAGTGACAGGACAGAGAGATGCTTACAGTACATGGGCCGTGACATGTACCAAAATTAGGAGGGAGGGTCTGGAGGCAGATGTGCCAAATGAAGCTTATGACAGCTCATATGTGAACCAAATATGTATCTGCAGGGCAGGTAAGAGCCAATATTTATATTTTCTTTTAAATAAACTTAAGTAATCTTCGTTTTTTTTTTCTCTTTTTGGAAGGTCCAGCTGTCCTCAGTTAATCCCCCGTCTTTGTCACCACCAGGAACTACAGGAATTGAACAGAGTCTGGCTGGACTTTCTATTAGCTCAACTCCACCAGCTGTCAGTAGTGTTCTCAGTACAGGTGTGCAGAAAAATATATTCTGTTTTGAGTCTATTTTATGTAATATTATTGCATAGAATTTTAAAAATTGACCAGACACAGTGGCTCACACCTGTAATCCCAGCACTTTTGGAGGCCAAGACTGGAGGATTGGTTGAACTCAGGAATTCTAGACCAGCGTGGGCAATACAGTGGAACCCTGTCTCTCCAAAAAAAATTTTTTTTTAATTAGCCGGTGTGGTGTGCACCTGTAGTCCCAGCTACTCGAGAGGCTGAGATGGGAGGATTGCTTGAGCCTCGGAGGTTGTGGCGGCAGTGAGCTGTGATTGTGCCACTGCATTCCAGCCTGGTTGACAGAGTGAGACCCTGTCTCAAAAAAAAGAATTTAAAAAATTAATGCCAGTGTACCTTGAAAACTGCATATATACTCTGTGTTGACAGGTACTGGCTGTGAAAGCTTGTTCTAAATCACCATGTGGATACACATGGGGCTTAAAAGTCTTCCCTGCATATTTTAGACCCTGAGCTTTCCTTAGATTCTACAACTTGTAAAGCCAGAACTCTTGACTTGAAATTCTGTTTAACTGCTCTGGTTACTCAACACATTTGCGTGTTTCTGAAGTAGTAGGCACTGGGGATGCAAAAGTGAGTAGGAGCTCCTTTCTGAGGAGCTCAGTCTTGCTTAGGGGACATGTGCCTGTCTCCTTCCTTTTCTTTTTTTTTTTTTTGAAACAGAGTTTCACTCTTTTTGCCCAGGCTGGAGTGCAATGGCATGGTCTTGGCTTACTGCAACCTCTGCCTCCCGGGTTCAAGCGATTCTTATGCCTCAGCCTCCCGAGTGTCAGGGATTACAGGCACGTGCCACCATACGGCGACCAATTTTTGTATTTTTAGTAGAGACAGGGTTCGCCACATTGCCCAGGCTGGTCTTGAACTCCTGATCTCAGGTGATCTGCCCTCCTCGGCCTCCCAAAGTGCTGGGATTACAAGCATGAGCCACTGTACCCAGCCTCTTTCCTTTTCTTCATCCCTTGTTCTACCTGATATAGTCCTTTTTGTTTATTTTGTGTTTATTTATTTATTTTTGATAGCTTTCTAAAGATAAAATGCATATTACCATACAATTCACCTGCTTAAAGTATACAATCCAGTATTTTTTTAGTGTATTTGTTGAGTTGTACAACCAATAACCTCAATCAGTTTCAGAATAATTTATCACATCAAAAGAAACTCTGTACCCATTATCAGTTTTTCTAAAGTTTTTAGTTTTCATGTTTTTGTAGGGATGGGGTCTCTCTGTTGCCCAGGCTGGTCTCTAAGTCCTGGCCTCAAGTGATCATCCTGCCTTGGCCTCCCAAATTGTTGGAATTACAGGTGCGAGCCATGGCTGCTAGCCTCATTATTACCTTTTGTTCCTGGGCTCTCTTAAATATTTATATTCACAATTTGTTTATATCCCACTTTGTTCTGTAATGGACTTAAAACAGCCTACCAAGATGCAGTAGTAAGGTTGACAGTTTGGTGTCTATAATTGGTCTCCTAGGTTCTCATCCCAGCTCTTTAGTCCTGGTTTTATTTCTCCAGATGAAATTTAAAATTTCAAACTTACACAAAAGAGCTGAAATTGTATAATGAACCCCATCACCCAATTTTATCAATTATCAATATTGGGATATACTTACCTTTGCCTTCTTTGCTGGTTTTCTTTTTTTCCAGCTTTATCGATAAATAATTTGCATGCCATAAGTTAATTCACAATAAGTAAACAACTAAATAATTTTTAGTATATTCATAGAATTGTGCAGTCATCACCACAATCCAGTTTTAGAATATTTCCTAGATGAAATTAAATATTAATGTCATCAGTCTCTAATCATAGAGTTGAAAGGGAATTTAGAGTTTATTTCATTCAAGCAGTATAAGTCCTTTTTATGATATTACAATTTTTTGCCTACATCTCATCACATAATTCTCTGGTTTATTCCTGAATAGACTTAGTAAGGGGTAGGGTAGTGTACTTCCCAAGGCAGCAGCCCATTCTGAGTCTGAATTACTCGTATTTGTTTTAGAGTAAGCGTGTTCCAGATGCTTTTTTTTTTATTATTGTACTTTTTATTTTTTAGACAGAGTCTCACTCTGTTGCCCAGGCAGGCTGGAGTGCAGTGGCACTATCTTTGCCCACTGCAACCTCCGGCTCCCAGGTTCAAGCAGTTCTCCTGCCTCAGCCTCCCCAAGTAGCCATGATTGATTATAGGCACGTGCCACCACACCCAGCTAATTTTTGTATTTTTAGTAGAGATGGGGTTTTGCTATGTTGGCCAGGCTGGTCTCAAACTCCTGACCCCAGGTGACCCACCCGCCTCTGCCTCCCAAAGTGCTGGGATTACAGGCATGAGCCACTGTGCCCGGCCCTTTTTTTTGAGGCAGAGTTTCGCTCTTGTTGCCCAGGCTGTAGCACAATGGCGCGATCTCAGCTCACTGCACCCTCTGCCTCCCAGGTTCAAGCAATTCTCCTGCCTCAGCCTCCCGAGTAGCTGGGACTACAGGCGTGCACCACCATGCCTGGCTAATTTTTTGTATTTTTAGTAGAGACGGCATTTCACCATTTTGGGCTGGTCTCGAACTCCTGACCTTAGGTGATCCACCCACCTCAGCCTCCCAAAGTGCTGGAATTACAGGCATGAGCCATTGCGCCTGGCCCCAGATACACTTCTGATTTTAGGAGATAGTTGTCATGTCTCTTCAAGCCCCAGTTTCTCTTTGACATTTTAAATCTTTTCTCATTACATTGTAGTTATACTTGTATCGTCTTTTAAGCACATGCACAGAGATCCCTGGCTTATGGCACTGCAGAGAAATGGCTGCTTGACGGTTAAAGACAAATGTAACTAAAGCATGAATTGCTCAAAAGAGACTGAAAGAAATTGACGTCATCACTTTTGAGTAAATAAATTTAAAAAGACTAAAATATTCTAGCATCATAACACGTGAGGAACAACTTTTTGATGGGCGTTTTTCCATCTTCACTTTTCCTTACGTTGCTTGCAAATTAGCCTATACATTGTAACATAATGTAATATAATAGCCCATATAATGTAACTGTAGAGATATAAAAGTAACTGTAGAGAAATAAAAGTATGTCTTTTTAAACTTTTTTGTGGATTTGAAGATTTCTGGATTATAAAATTTTTTAGAAAATGACTACGATTTTGAAGTGGCATTGATCATTGTGACCTGCTTGATTTTTCTGCAGTGTATCACCTTTTTCCTTTTTTTTTTTTTTTGAGACGGAGTCTTGCTCTGTCGCCCAGGCTGTAGTGCAGTGGCATGATCTTGGCTCACTGCAACCTCTACCTCCCGGGTTCAAGTGATTCTCCTGCCTCAGCCTCCCAAGTAGCTGGGATTACAGGTGCTCACCACCATGCCCAGTTAATTTTGTATTTTTAGTAGAGACAGGGTTTCACCATGTTGCCCAAGCTGATCTTGAACCACTGACCTCAGGTGACCCGCCTGCCTCACCTTCCCAAAGTGCTGGGATTACAGGCATGAACCACCGTGCCTGGCCCGAGTGTATCACCATTTTACATGCTATGTATTTTACTTATTTGATCTTTCTCCTTTCCTTTTCCTGCCCCTCATTAGAATGGAAATTTCCTGAAGGTTCTGATTTCTGTTTTCTTCATGTTGTAAAGTGCCTCAGTGCCTAGAACAATGTGTAACATACAGTAGGTGCCCCCCAAAAAACTTGAACAAATGACCATACTCAACTGTCCATTCAGCTCCTTTGAGAATCTGATGAAAGTAAAGAACCTGCCTTCCAAAAATTGTTGTATACAATTTTAGGAGCTTCACAGACCTTCTGAAGCCCGTTTATGGGCCCTAGATTTAGAATTCCTGGCTTAGATTTAGTCAGTTATTTTTGAGACTTGTGAATGTATCTATCCTTTGAGAATGAAAAGAGCTGGATGCAGTGGCTCACGCCTGTAATCCCAGCACTTTGGGAAGCCAACGTGGGCGGATCACGAGGTCAGGAAATCGAGACCATCCTGGCTAACATGGTGAAACCCCATCTCTACTAAAAATACAAAGTATTAGCCGGGCGTGGTGGCGGGCGCCTGTAGTCCCAGCTACTCGAGAGGCTGAGGCAGGAGAATGGCGTGAACCCGGGAGGCGGAGCTTGCAGTGAGCCGAGATTGTGCCACTGCACTCCAGCCTGGGTGACAGAGGGAGACTCCGTCTCAAACAAACAAATAAAAAAAAGAATGAAAAGAAACTTACGTGAAAGATTTTATTGGGAAATAGAAGAAATTTGCTTAACCAATCCAAGCTGCTTTTATTTTCTTAAAACCGAGATTTCAAAACAAATATAAAAAAATTATAGCATTGCTATAGTGTTTGACCACTTACGAAGTGCACACTCACTAACACTTTGGTACAGACTAGAAAACAGCTTCTTATATTTGAGTGAAATTATACAGTCTGGGAGCTAGTAGAGCATTTGCCAGTGTTTCAGTTAGATTTTTTTCTTATTTTTGCTTGCCTCTGAATTCCACAGAAAAGTAGATAAATGAATAAATAATAGACTGCCTGCATGGCTGGTTCATACTTTTAGGCACAATTTATTCCCGCTACCATATTTAAGCAGATCTGTAAGACAAAATCTGGAATCTGTGTGCTAGATAAGTGAAAATGAATGCTAAATAGGTGAAAGATGTGCTTTCATTTATTGTTTCGACATCAGCAAAACCTCACACTGGGGTAGGTGGTAAACATGATTAGGTGGTATCCTAAGGCTTGTACATGAAGAACATAACCTCCTCAAGCTAACGTTAGTACACATGGAAATGTGTTAGACTTCGAAGGACTGTCACAGACCTAAGGTCAAAAGGAAATGGACATTCAGGAAGCCAAGTCATTCTCTTCATCCTAGAGGTTCATGTGCTCTTTTGTCTCTTTCAAGCCACCTATGTCATTCTCTTCTTTCACAGACCAGCATTCACTGTTTCACAGGGCACATGGTACCCCTGCAACCCCCGACTTACATGGCATCTTAGTTTAGGAGCCCGGTTGAGATTGACTAGAATCCTTGTGTCCCATATACAAATGTCTAAGACAGTTTTCAAATCCAGCCCTGCTTGGGTCAGTTGTAAACCTCTTGTCCAGTGAGCTGGGCTGGGGTGGGACTGCACGGCCTCCTGCCCTCTTGTCACAGGCTCTGGTAACAGCCTTTGTTGAGAGCCATGGGCAGAGTTAGTGGATCTGCAGTAAAGGGTGGTAGACAGTCAGTTGCAGCTGGAAATCGGGACCAAATGAAGACCTGACCACAGGGCAGGAAGGGACTGCAGATTGTCCTAACATGTTCTGTTCATTTTTTGTCGACTAAATTTGTTAGAGATGAAAAGATTGTGCTTTCTTTTTAGGTGTACCAACAGTACCGTTATTGCCACCACAAGTAAACCAGTCCCTCACTTCTGTGCCACCAATGAACCCAGCTACTACTTTACCAGGTAACCACCAGAGGACTAGAGATGTGGCTGTTGATAACAGTATTACTGATATTTGCATCTTTAGAACAATGAAAAATATTCTACCTATGTCATAACTTTTTATGTCTTTTAATCTCAATTTATCTCTGCAATAAGTTTGTGATAAATGAGAGCTAGGGCAGCTCTCCTTAGTAGACAGGCACATGCCACCACACCCAGCTAATTTTTGTATTTTTAGTAGAGATGGGGTTTTGCTATGTTGGCCAGGCTGGTCTCAAACTCCTGACCTCAGATGACCCGCCCGCCTCTGCCTCCTAAAGTGCTGGGATTACAAGCATGAGCCACTATGCCCGGCCCTTTTTTTTGAGGCAGAGTTTCGCTCTTGTTGCCCAGGCTGGAGTGCAATGGCACGATCTCAGCTCACTGCACCCTCCGCCTCCCAGGTTCAAGCGATTCTCCTGCCTCAGCCTCCCGAGTAGCTGGGACTACAGGTACGTGCCATTTACCAGCTAGTTAGCTGCCGAGCGTAGTGCTCCTTACCCTGGCCAGCGGCCACCTGCTGCCCCTGCAGTACCACAGTGCAGCATACGCCAGGAATAAGGAATCTGCAGAAGTCCATTCTCCGTTGTCTCCTTAGTGAGGACTTCCTGACAGTCATTCGTGGGAGCCTAGAAGAGAAGGCTTCTTATTTGGTCTTTAGTAGCTCTAACATTAAATTAAATTTTTGTGTTTTTCTCTTCATATTCCCAGTGAAGACCAAGTTCCTTTATCCAGCCAATAATAATCAAATATTATTTTAGTGATCAAATATACTTTCATTGTGAGCGCTTTTAATGTATGACTAAAAGTGTCATTATCCAAGCATATTAAGCCATGAACCAAATATGTGCACACACAGAATGAGGAAGCAAGTGTGCTGATACATGGGCTTGGGAATTTGGGTGAAAGGTGGATTCTTTTTACTACTTTTGCAACTGTAAGTCTGCAAATATTTTTCAGAATAAGAAATTTAAAAAGTCATAGAGACTGTAAACCTCAACCATCAAAGAAAAATTCAGTTTCATTGTCTTCTATATCTACTGAAACAAATCAGCCTTTTCTCCAAGTCACTCGGCCATCATCATTCTTACTCCAGAGTGTTAAGAGTATTAGTTATTTATTTTCATCTTTACCCATTTAGCCACCTAATCTAATCACTTAGGTAGAGAAATATATTTCAGTTAAGTGAAATTTCGTTACATTATGATTATGATACAAAACTGCTACACATTAGGTGGACTTCTGGTACTGTCACTTAGAAGTGGCTGGGATTGTTTTTAATACACAAGGATTTATTTCTTCCCCAGGTCAAGTGATTTCCCTTTTTTTCTTTTCTGCCTTCTCTTCAGGTCTGATGCCTTTACCAGCAGGACTGCCCAACCTCCCCAGCCTCAACCTCAACCTCCCAGCACCACACATCATGCCAGGGGTTGGCTTACCCGAACTTGTAAACCCAGGTATGTTGCAGATCTCACCCTCCTAGGACTCTCTCTCATAAAAGTTTTATTCAGGAATGCCCATCCTCCTCAATTTTTTCTGGAAAGAGCAAATCAGTTTAACAGATTTCAGCTACTTTGAATAAATATTCATCTTTTTTGTTTAAAAAGCTTAAGAGGATCATGCCTGTAATCCCAGCACTTTGGGAGGCCGAGGTGAGTGGATCACCTGAGGTTAGGAGTTCAAGACCAGCCTGGCCAACATGGCAAAACCCCGTCTCTACTGAAAAAATATAAACATTAGCCGGGCATGGTGGCAGGTGCCTGTAGTCCCAGCTATTCAGGAGGCGGAGACAGAAGAATCACACTACTGCACTCCAGCCTGGGCAATAGAGCAAGACTTAATCTCAAAAAAAAAAAAAAAAGCTTAAGAGGAAAGAAGAATGTTTCTGAGTCCCTGCTGCCTCTCCTCCTCCTCCCGCTCCTCCTCCTATCTCTGCACCCTGATGGCTTAGCCTCAAAAGCCAGGGTAGCAATAAAGCACAGTGGCGTGGCCCTGCTGCATTGACTTTAATGAAGGTATGCAGGCTGCCTAGTGGAGGTGAGTGAATTCCCCGCCATTCTCTTCATATTTGGAGCCGCTGCCACTGGGGAAGTAGTGGAGCCTATTGTGTGTAGCCCAAGCCCAGAAATTATGCCATAAAACGTCTCCCCTGCTCAGCTGACTGGTCTTGTATTTTTTGTTTTGTTTAGTTTTTTCGAGATAGAGTCTTGCTTTATCACCCAGGCTGAAGTACAGTGGCGCGATCTGGGCTCATTGCAATCTCTACCTCCCAGGATCAAGCCATCCTCTCACCTCATCCTCCCAAGTAGCTGGGACTACATGCACACACCACCACACCTGGCTAATTTTTTGTATTTTTGTAGAGACCGGGTTTCACCATGTTGCCCAGGCTGGTCTTGAACTCCTGGGCTCAGGCAATCTTCCTGCTTTGGCCTCCCAGTGTGCCCAGCCAATATTCTTCTTTTTAAAAAAAATGTGTATATATAAAAACAAAACAAACGTGAATATCTTCCATTATTTATAAATGCTTTTATACTTAAAACTATGGGAAATTTTAGCTGGACATGTCTAAGGTAGCAGATATTCCAAGTGTCTACACTCAGATTTTCTGTCTGAAAATGAAGGAGCAGCGTCCTACGAGTCCGTATGGTTAATGATCACCCAGCATACCTTAACCTTTGGGAGGCCTGACTTACTAGGCCATCTCAGTAGTTTGGCCCATCAGTGATGCCAGTGAGTGATCTTACAGCACCATGGTGTGCATCGTCACCGTCTTGTTTCTGTCTAGATGATAATTACCCCTCTTGTAACACTCAACATCTGTATATATTCCTTAACCTACTTAGTTTTCAGGCCAAAGGTTTAAAAATGAAGTACTAGGCCAGGCACAGTGGCTCATGCCTATAATCCCAGCACTTTGGGAGGCCAAAGTGGGTAGATCACCTGAGGTCAGGAGTTCAAGAACCAGCCTGAACTCAACAACCAAATCTAGGTGAAACCGCTGTCTCTGTTTAAACAAATACACAACGAGTCCCAGCTGGGCATCCTCCGGTCGGCAGCTCGCCTGTAATACAGCTCTCGGTGAATAACGTGAGGCAGCGAGAATCCGCTTAACCCGGAGGTGGAGGTGTTAGTGAGCCTGAGATCGGCCACTGCACTCCAGCCTGGCGTGATCTCAGCAATCCCCGACGCACTCCGTCTCAAACAATCCAAATCAATAAATACCAACAACTACCAAAATGAACGTACCGAGTGACCCTAAGTCAAACTACCCAATTGTAGGCCTGTTGCAATCCCCGCACGCCTCCTTTCTTGTGCCTGTATCTCTTGGCTCCTTCTCTGGTACCCTCTCCCTAAAACTTCGACAGCACTCTGAGTAGTTTCACCAGCTGGTGGTTGCCTGCAACCTCGTGCTTCTAACTACCTGCTTCATCCTTGTCTTCTTGAACCATAACTTCTCCCTTTCCTCTCCTTATGCCATTTTAATTCTTTTCTTTTTTTTTTTTTTTTTTTCCTTCTTTTGAGACCAGTCGTCCTCACTCTTGTCTCGCTTCACGGCTGCGAGCTGCAGTGGTGTAATCTGATTTCACTGCAACCTCACCCTCCTGGGCTTCAAGGCAGTTCTCCACCTCAGTGCGCGAGTCCTCTAGCTAGCCCTCGGGATCCACAGATGTGTGCAGCCATGCCCCAGCTAATTTTTGTATTTTTTTTAGTAAGACGACGAGGTTTATTGCGTGTTGCCTAGGCTGGGGTCGCCAACCTCGCTTCGGGCTCAAGTGATCCTCCCGCCTTGGCCTCCCAAAATGCTGGGGTTACAGGTGTGACCCACCACGCCTGGCCTTGCATTTTAAAATCATCATAATGAGTCCACTGAGTGTAATAGTTATCAATCACAGGTTTTAAGCAAAGGCTGAGTATCCCTGGTGAGGACAGTGGAAAGGGCAAGAATCCAGGCCCCTCCCTTCTGCTGCCTTTGCAAGAGGGTTGTGGCCTACCTCTCTCTGTTGTCTGTCAAGAATGCAGCTGTAACAGCTTGCAGCTGGCAGGGGTGAGCATGAGTCCCCCTGTCTGACATCCAGTGCAGCTGTGTCACCTGCTGGGTGGGCTGCTATCTGTTCTGACTGGAAGGATCCTATCTTTCTTCCCTGAGCCAGTTTCCCCCAGTGCTGGGCCAGGTCACATGGAGCCTAGAAGCTGAGAACCTATTCCTGCGGGCAGCCGCAATTGTAGGAAATAGTTAACCCTGCCAGCGCCTCTATCTGGAAATCAGACAAGGTTGTGATTTGTGTTACCTCCTCAGCTTCAGTTTCCTTAATGAAATGTAAATAAAAATAGCCCTTTGACGATGCCTGCTGCCCTTTCAGTGCTGGGAGGATGTATGATCTATGCTGTTTTTGTCCTAGGTCTGCCACCTCTTCCTTCCTTGCCTCCCCGAAACTTACCTGGCATTGCACCTCTCCCCCTGCCATCCGAGTTCCTCCCGTCATTCCCCTTGGTTCCAGAGAGCTCTTCTGCAGCAAGCTCAGGAGAGCTGCTGTCTTCCCTCCCGCCCACCGGCAACCCACCCTCCGACCCTGCCACAACTACTGCAAAGGCAGACGCTGCCTCCTCACTCACTGTGGATGTGACGCCCCCCACTGCCAAGGCCCCAGCCACGGTTGAGGACAGAGTCGGCGAGTCCACGCCAGTCAGCGAGAAGCCTGTTTCTGCGGCTGTGGATGCCAGTGCTTCTGAATCACCTTAACATTGAACCGTTCTTCGGAATTGGCGTGGTATATTTATTTAACCACGGGAGTGTGTCTGGAAATGCAAACTATCATTAATTTCATACTAGTTTGTACCGTATCTGTAGGCATCCTGTAAATAATTCCTACAGGGGATACTAAACGAGGACGTGGGTTGTTTCCTGCCAAGTTGAGTGGGGCTCACGCGCTAGGGCAAGATGTCAGAAAGTGCTTGTATTTTAAACAACCAAAAAGAATTGTAATGGTGGCTTGCTGTCAGGCTTGCAGTGCCATTGCTGCGGGTGTGCATCTTCGGGAAAGGTGGTGACGGGGCGTCCACTAGGTTTCCTGTCCCCTGCTGCTCTTTCCGTAAGAAAATGAAATATTCTATGCCTAGTACTCACACGCAACATTTCTTGTACTTTGTAAGTCGTTTGCGAGACTGCAGACCACTTCACAAAACTAAACGGTAAAGAGATTTTACTTTTGGTCTCCGTGAGTCGCATCTCTATTAAGGTTTACACAGGAATTCCACCTGAAGACTTGTGTTAAAGTTCCACAGCGCTCACTGTTAATTGAACGTCTTTTTCTTCAGCCTATACACGGATCCTTGTTTTGAGCTCTCTGAATCACTCAGACAACATTTTGTAACTGCTGCTGTTGCTTTCTACGTCCACCTTATAAAGTGGCATTTCAAAAGAAATAAAGAAGGTGTCACAGTTTTAAACCAGAAGGTGGCACTCTGTGGCTCCTTGTAGTATTATAGCTATACTGGGAAAGCATAGATACAGCAATAAAGTACAGTAATTTTACTTTTTTTCTTGTGTTACATCTAAATTACAACCCTTAATTGCCACGTGTGCACTTACTACTCTCCGGTATGTCTTACTACTCTCCAGTATGTCATGCATCTTTAACTTTTCATGTCCTATGTTTGCTTTCTCCCGTTTTTAAGAGATGGTAAGTTAACTGGAGTTGATTTACTGAATGAAATTAAATGCAGATATCCATGTTTTTGAAATAAGACAAAAGTGGTTCCTCGGTTATTGCTCTGGTATAAGTCTGTAGATGCTGATCCCCTGCAGGGAGGACATGGCTGAGGTGGGAGGACATGGCTGAGGTGGCAGCACCCTCACATCACCCTCACGTCACTCACCCCTGACTGCCCTGCTGGACACTTCAAGTCAACGCCAGCCCAGCACTCTCCTAGGAGTCTCAGTGCCAGCCAGTTTTGGGGGTAGATCCGTTTCTGGGGCCAGGTTTGTACTTAAAACTGAATGATGAAAGAAGTCTCCAGCCCTAATCATAGCTGCTTCTGTTTACACTGTGTAAATGTTTCTAGAATATTTCAGTTAATCCCGTTTTTTGAAAAGGAGCTTATAACAGGTGAGGAAAGTATTCACAAGCACATTTAAATGTTATAATTTTTGGCTTTCCAGGATAGGAAAACTTGAGAAAGTTACTACTTTCTAAAAGAGTTCTTAAATATTAAGATCTCCTTAATATTTGTTGTTTTTACATTAAAAGACAAATATTAAGGAGATCCCTTAGTGGAAAGCGAGTGAGTAATTTTCAAGTTTTACAAAATGATTTTTTTTAATACAGTTCTTCCAAGGCAATGCTTGTGAACTCTGGTGCAGTCACAGCTCTCATCTGGGAATGATGACAGGCTGGGCTCTCTTCCTGGGCAGATGAAGTAGCATAAATGAAACACTAATCTCGAGGGAGATTGAGGGACCTTTTTTTTTTCTTTTTTTTTGAAACAGGGTCTCACTCTGTCACCCTGGCTGGAGTGCAGTGGCTTGATCTTGGCTCACAGCAGCCTTGACCTCCTGGACTCAAGCAATCCTCCCACCTCAGACTTCTGAATATCTGGGACCACAGGTGTGTGCCACCATGATAGTGAGGGACTCTTAACACTCACCTAACTAATGGACAGACATTCAGCCTAGATTGGCTTGTTGGATCTTCCCTGAGGTGGAAAATACTTCATTATTTTCTGCTGCCTTCAGACAAACCAGTTTCAGTCTTTAACAGTGGTAGATCTGGTACCAGGTTCCAGAAACACGATGTAAGAGATAGTTTCCCTGACAGTAGGCCACTTCCATGGCCTTGTAGGGAGACAGACCAGGGAATCAGTCCTTAGGGCCAAGGCAGAAGGATTGCTTGAGCCCAGGAGTTCAAGTCCAGCCTGGGCAACACAGACCCTGTCTCTACAAAAAATTTAAAAATTAGCTGGGCATGGTGGCATATGCCTGGAGTTCCAGCTACTCAGGAGGCTGAGGTGGGAGGATCGCTTGAGCACAGGAAGTCAAGGCTGCAGTGAACTGTGAGGAAACTATGCAAGGCTAGGAAAAGTCTTGAGTGTTTGTGTGCGTGGGGCTGGGTCTTGTGTGCTGGACTAGGGAGTTTGAGCTTTTGCTTAAATACGGTAGTCACGAAGGCTGGAGGGCAGCGCAGTGGGGTCCAGCCTCAGAAGGGATGCTCACCTGAACCTCCTTGGCTAGCTAAGTCTCTACTTTGAGTCTAGGATAATGACTGTGTTAGTCTGTTCTGACACTGCTATAAAGAAATACCCAAGACTGGGTAATTTTATAAAGGAAAGAGGTTTAATTGACTTAGTTTCACGTGGCTGGAGAGACTTCAGGAAACTTAAAATCATGGCAGAAGGCAAAGGCGAAGCAAGAACCTTCTTCACATGGCAGCAGAAGAGAGAAGCGCAAGCAGGGGAAATGCCAGAGGCTTATGAAACCATCAGATCTCGTGAGAACTCACTCTCACGATAACAGCAGTGGGGAAACCACCCCCATAGTCCAATCACTTCCCACCAGATCCCTCCCTCAACACATGGGAATTATGGGAACTACAAGAAGAGATTTGGGTGGGGACACAGCGAAACCATATCAATGACTTTACCTTTTCCCCTCTGATTTTTCTGTTTTATTTTTAGTTCATTACTAATTGTGCTTACCTGGGAGCAGTTTAACTTAGTTCATTTCCTGAAAATTCTGAAGACCTCGAAATTACCTTGTGGCCTCTTCCTCACCTGAGAGGCACCTACTAAAGTTCAAAGATGGCTCTACCTTGGATGTCCAAACATTTCTGCTTTTGACTATAGTGAAGATGAGAGACTGGTGGGCTGCTGGAGCTACGGTAGTGACATGGAAGCCCCGATCCCACCGTTAAGGAACCTGTGGTTTAGGTGGGACCATGAAGCAACTTCACGCAAACTGCAGCAAGTGAAGAGTCTCAGCTGAGCAGAGACCTGGAGAGTCTGGGTGAAGGGAACATTCTCTGGCAGCTGAAGAAGGCTTAGCCAGACCTACATTTTAGCAGGTGGAGAAGGAGTTAAAAAATCCAGGCAGGGCCCTAAGGGAGCTCACAGTAGGAAAGCCATGGGCATTAAAGCCTCCAGCAGCAGTTGACTACAGGTGCATTTTATTAGAAAATAAAATACATCTTATTTAAATGATTGATTTGTGAAAAAGTTTTTTCTTCCAGAGTGGCCCTATTTTTTATCAGTAACTTGTGAAGGAAGGTTGGGCCTTCCCCCTGTGACCCTGAAGATGAAGTTCTTTAATTATCTGACTACCCGGCAAGGTTTCAAGCCTGTCTTCAGATTAGAATTGCCTCAATTAGAATATTGATTCCTGGACTCTTGGAGTTTTAAAAAACTTCCCCAGGGAGGGTGGACCTGTAACTGCGGGAAGTAATAGGCGCATAGGAAGGTCATCGTCCTTGCTAGGTACCTACTTTTACCACTAAGCAAAGTGCACAGTTTGGAGGAGGGGTCCTTTTGTCACATACATACATATATATACACATATATATATGTGTGTGTATGTGTATATATATGTATATATATGGGTTTTTTGTTGGGGTTTTTTTTTTTTTTTTTTTTGCATTAGATTTAGGAAGAACAATTTCCGGCTTGGCTAACCAAAGTGTTCCTTTATAGGCCTTTAGTGTATCAAGCCAATTGATAAAATGGGGAATTAATGCCACAGCCAATTATTCAAGCACTAGAACAACAGGACGTGGAAGGGCAAGTGGGTCCCACTCCCAGCTGGGGGCTACAGGTGAGGGGAATAGAGAGGGGTGAGGAGAGTGAGAATGCACCGCAAAAGAGCAGAGGAGTGAGGAGTGCAGACAAGTGCAGATGCCGCCCCACTGCCTCTCCAGGGAGTTACACAAACGTGAGTACTCTGGTCGCTTGACAGTTTAGAGAAAACGCCACACTCCAGCCATTGATGGAGGCGGGCCACAGATTTTCAGTGTTACCAGAGTTGAGGTTACAGTGTATTTCCTGGCAAGATACAAGTCCATGCTCCATGAAGGCTGCTGGGGCTTGGGATAATAACAGTAGCCAGCATTTATTAAGTGTTTCCTGTACATGGGGTGAATAATAAGAGTGCTCTGCCCAGCAGACAAGAGGAAGCAAACCGGTTCCCCCCAGGCATGTTTCCTTTGAACTCCCCTGTATATATTAAAATATGGATTAATTGCCAACATTTAAAAATCAGAAGGTTTCACATAAATCCAGATTTCTGGTTTCTCAAAGTCACAAGTTCTGGCAACAGATCAATCCTACAGGGAAATGAACGCCCCTTGGAGTCTGTGTCCCCCAGTCTCCAGTTCCCACAGCCCCACCTGCGTACACCAGCCCCCACGCCCACCGCCCGCAGGTGTCTGAGTTTGCAGAGCCCTGTGTTATGCTGGTAGTAACACAGCTGAGTCTGGGGAGAGGGAAGAGATGGCTGAAACCGAGGTTTCCTTACAGTCAGCGGGGCCAGAACCCTTGGGGACCCAGGATCAGGAAACAAGGTCCTTCATGGATTTCATTATTTAGGATCCAATGAATCGTGTGGAATGGGCACTAAGGTTAGCAAAATTTGAAGCAGCCACTTAGACGGTAAACCTGAGGGAGAAAATGTCCCTGGACAATGACTGGGATAGTAACACCAATTTGAGTTTCACTAGTCTCTTTTCCTAAAGCCATATATGCTGGGTTCCCAACCCATTGATTACCTTAACAACCAACTCTATTAGAATTGATCATCAAGTCTCTTTTCACAACCAAGGGTTGTGAATAAGAGTTCATGAATCCCTGACTGACTTTCTTACCCTCCACTCTCCATGGCCTTGCTTCCTGGGGAGGGTCCTGTTTGCCAGACTGGCCTGGTTTGAGACCCACACTAAGAAGTCGGCCTGAGGTTCAGGGCAAGACTCTTCCAGAAGCACTTGAATTATGGTGGCTGGGAGTGGGGTTACAGGAACTTCTCATTTCTTATAAACTTGCGTATTGCCAGAATTTTTTAAAAACACAATTACTTTTTACTTTTTTTTTTTTTTTTTGAGACGGAGTCTCACTCTGTCACCCAGGCTGGAGTGCAGTGGCGCGAATTACTTTTTAATTACTAAAAACAATAGGGTTATTTTGATCTAGGGGGTGGATGAATGGGAGACTTACAGAGCCAGAAAAAGCCTTGTTCTGGGCCGGGCGCGGTGGCTCACGCCTGTAATCTCAGAACTTTGGGAGGCCAAGGCAGGCGCATCACGAAATCGAGAGATCGAGACCATCCTGGTCAACATGATGAAACCCCATCTACTAAAAATACAAAATTGGCCGGGCGTGGTGGCAGGTACCTGTAGTCCCAGCTACTCAGGAGGCTGAGGCAGGAGAAGCTCTTGAACCCGGCAGTGAGCCAAGATCGCGCCACTGCACTCCAGCCTGGCGACAGAACGAGTCTCTGTCTCAAAAAAAAAAAACAAAAAACGAAGCCGTGTTCCATCTCTTCTGAAGCCTTTCATTTCAGTCTGTCCAGGACGGCCCCTGCTGCAGGGCTGGGGAAGCGTTTTCCCCCAGCAGCGTTATGACTGATCAGACTAAGGGAGCTCTCTGCCAAAAACCCCCAACACTGTCCCTAGGTTAGAATTATCCATGAAATTTCCCTGAATAGACTTGTGCTGTGACTGATTTGCAATGCTGTGCTGTGTTTGTAAATCAGTTTGGCCAGAACTGTA